AAGAGTGAAAACCCTACCTTACTCCCAGCTAATTGATTATAGCTTGTCTTCATAAACAGATTGACCTGCTCCTTACCCAGAAAAGCATCCTCTGGCTGTGCAGGCCTGAGTCAGAGAGAGCCCCACCCAAGCAGTAGACAGGCAGGGGGAACTGAGAGCAGGTGCAGAGTTGAGAACAAACAGGGGTTCACATTAGTGCAGGCATATGACTCAGCAGAGATTTACAGGCCTTGGAGGCGGGCGTGGCCCTGAGCCCAGGGTAAGTTGTTTTGGGCTATTTCCTATTCTACCCTGTGGTTAGGTTGCTCTTCATCAGCTTGTAAGTCATGGAAACCATACCCCATAAGCCATTTAGTGACCTGTTTCTTTGGGCAGGTGATCCCAACCAGCCACAGGGCCATCTTTCTCTTTTTGGCTGGGGCTTTGGGAACTGTGCTTCCTAGTTCAGGACTGTGGTTTGAAATGAAATCTCATTCCCACATCATACTTTTCCCTCCATAAAAAAAAAAAACAAAGGATTAATGTGTGTCTGGGGCTTCCTTTGGCCCACCTGCTCTTCCAGGTGTCACCTTAGCTTGATGATTTTTATCCAAAGATCCTTATGAAAGGAGCTTGTACTTTATGCTCATCCTCTTCCATCCTCTTACCAACTTTTTTCTCCAGATTTACTAGCCTCATCTTTGCTTTCTAATTCAAGAAAGCTTACCACCGTCCTCACACTTCCACATTGGGATGAAGAGCTGATTAATTCTATATCAGCTCTTCATCCCAATTATGAGGATTTGTAATGAGCTCCAAGAGACAATTTATTTCTCTTCATATTGCTTGAATGCTGTTTTGTTTTAGTTTTTTTTTTCTTCTGGTTATTAAGTTAAACATGTTCATTTTAAAAATTCAAACATCATAGAAATACAGAGTATAGAGAGGAAAACCCTTCACAAAAGTATTTCTGCCTTCCTTAAAAATACTTACCAGTTTGGTGACATTCCTCCAGATATTTTTCTATACTTATTCTAGCATGGGAACTGACCATTCCAAACATGTTTAATGTGCTTTTTTACTTAATAATATGCCTCAGACATCATTCCACTAACGTACCTGATTTTTTAACAGCCTCTAGCATGTAGGCGTATGGACAGTAATTTAAATAAATTTTTTGGTGTCTTTTTTTTTAGGATGACAGTGTTATAGTGAATATCTTTCTGTGTATATCTTTGTGCATTTATAGTAGTATTTCTCAAAGAAAAATTCTTAAGAATTGCTGGTTAAAAGGGCTAAATTATGAGAGCTATTTTCAGAGTTCACTCTTAAAAATGCTACAAATCACATCTCTACCAACTATATGTGGGAGGGCTTGTTTGGCCATACCATCATCAACAGTGGGTATTAGCAACACTGGGTATTTTAGTTCTCATTAGTCTGACAGGTAAAAAAATCAGATCTCATATTTATTCATTTTTGTTGTTTTGCTTTGTTTTCATTTTTTGCTTTTAGTTAAATTGAGCATGTTTTCAAATGGTTATTGTCTACTTCCACTGAGCATTACAAAGCATTTTTCAGGTTAAGATTTAAGTTTACCTGGGATCAGTTTCATGAGAAGGTGTTGATTGTTTTCACACATCAGAGTAAGAGATTTCTTGTGTCTGTTCTCCACAGCAAACAGCGGCATAACAAGCTCTGGAGATCTCATTCAGATAGCGACCTCTCAGATCACCATGAACCCATCTGCAAACCAGGGCTGGAGCTCAGCAAGAAGGAGGTCACCACCTCAGCAGACCAGATTGCCGAGGTGAAGGCCATGGAGAATCACCCACCCACACCTCCTGTCTTCGTGGAACATGTTGTCCCACAAGATGAAAATCAGAAAAGGCTGTGTACCAAAGAAAGAATGATCTGCTTGGAGTTTACTTCTAGAGAATTTCGTGCCGGACAAATTGAAGATGAATTAAACCTAAATGATATCAATGGATGCACATCAGGGTGTTGTCTCAATGAATCAAAATTTCCTCTTGACAACTGCCATGCATCTAAAGCCTTAATCCAACCTGGGCAGGCCCCAGAAGTGGCCAATAAGTTCCCAGACTTAACAGTCGAAGATTTGGAGACAGATGCACTGAAAGCAGACATGAACGTCCATTTACTGCCTATGGAAGAGTTGACATCTCGCCTGAAAGACCTCCCCATGTCCCCTGACCCTGAATCACCAAGCCCCCAACCCAGTTGCCAGACTGAAGTCTCAGATTTCAGTACAGATCGCATTGATTTTTTTAGCGCCCTAGAGAAATTTGTAGAGCTTTCTCAAGAAACCCGGTCACGATCTTTTTCCCACTCAAGGATGGAGGAACTGGGAGGAGGAAGGAATGAGAGCTATCGATTGTCAGTGATAGAAGTAGCCCCTTCTGAAGTGACAGCTGATGATCAGAGAAGCAGCTCTTTGAGTAATACTACTCATGCGTCTGAAGAATCTTCAATGGATGAGGAACAGTCAAAGGTAAAATCTATCATTATAGTTCTCCACCTAACGAAGTTCTCTTCGAAGACAGAATGTTTGGGATTCTGCTATGTTCGTGTTATTTTCAATGTTGCTAAAGATTTAGAAAGGCAACATGAGAGAGTCTGGCTGAGACTTTCCTTGAAAACTTAGAGGTTAATTTTTTTTTAATCAGTTGGCTTTAGAGGTATTTATCTTTCCAGGTTTTTGGTGTCATTGGAAGCACTTCTGAAGGGACAAGGGAAAAAAGGGATTAGCCAAAAAAAATGCCCTGGCTGAAAAAGGAGAGGTCCCCTACTTGGAACTCTGCAGTTCAGATCAAATCTCACCAGTAATGAAATGCCAGGGACTCATACGCTGCCTCAGTGAGACTTGTGTCTCTCTGAGAAGATGGATTTGTTTGGAAAATTCTTTTTGTCTCAGAAAATTCAGACTAGACATGTAAATAGTTGTTGGAGTAGCACCTGATTCCCGTGCCAAGTTCTTGCTCTTAATAAAGTTTTGAATTGTTCCTCATCTCAGACCTTGTAGTATTCAAGAATTGAGGGCTGGTTTAGGGGAATGATTTGAGAGTGGACAAAATCCCAAGATTCTTCTCAGTGGCATATGGAACTCTTTTTAGTCATCTCAGACCAAGGAAAGAATTATTGTATATCATAATTTCTAAGACTCACACTCATTCCCATTTTGACATTTCCAAAATCGGGATGCATTTTAATCAATATAATTGTCAGTATAATACAGTAGTTGGGAAGTCAGTGGTGACAGATTTACTCTAACACACCAGACCTCACTTACTGAATTCGGTGGAGCTGAGCAGATTCTTAATGTCTCAGGATGTCTCTCCGCTTATATTTACCATCTTGTTCATTACTCATCCTTCCTCTCTCTTCTCAACTACCCCAGGGTAGTCATTGCCTCTGCTTCTGTCTTCTCCTCTCCCAAAGGCTATGCCTCTGTTTCATTTCTGCTGGGAAATATGAATGCTTGAGCTCTCCTTTAGACCATTTGGTGTAGCAGCTCTGACAAAAATAGCTTTTTTGCAAAATCCCTGGTCATATGAGCACTCCCTCCACAGCCTGTGCACACACTGGACCCGCTGTGGCTTCTCTCCCAGTCTTGGCAAGTTTGCCTCTGCCTGATGTCCCAGCAGATTTCTCCCAAAGGCATAACTGACCTTGTTGGTTTATTGTACTAGCTCTGACTCTCTTTTGAAGGGGAAAGACCAGAAAAATTCCTGGGGAAACATTGTACTTCGAAGGCTCATAAAAATGTTAACAAAGTAGATTGATGGTCGTAATGATGTCATTTTAAGAAGTGTCCAAGGGCCGTTGTCAGATTTTGAAATTCTTTTTTTTTTTTACAATAGGACTTGATTTTGCATTGGCCAGTTTCCTTTGGCCTTGTCCTACGTCCACCTGGGAATTTATAACTGGTAGAACAGTAAAATGTCAGAGTCACAGTTTCTAAGTTCACTCAGGCACATGGCTGCATAAGCCAAATAAACCTTTCCCAGAAGGAACCCTGTGAAACTTGGGAATTGTGTGATCGGATACACAGTGGCCTTACATGCTGGGGTGCTGCTGCTAGGCGAGGAAGTGGGAGGACATGGATGAAGGTTGGCAAGACAGGGAGAGAAGAGAGCAGAGATTCTCCAAATCAGACATCAGATGATAGCCTCATCCATCTTTCCCTGTCTAACACTGGGCATACTGAAGGTGGCCACTGAGCCCTTGAATGGAACTCTTCTCTCAGACTAGGTTAGAATTTAACTAAAAGTTGATAGGCCAAAGAGGAAAGGTTTCATTTACCCGAGTATGGCCTAAATTCTGAAGGCTCATGGTCTTAGAAAAATTAGGAACCTCCAAGGCTATTTGCTGTTTATTTTTGGAGCAAGATATTAGATTGGAATCCTGTTGGAGTAAACGGAACAGAAAGTTCAGTAGACAGTGATACAACCTGTAGCCAATTTTGTATCTCTGTGTTTGATTAATCTGTTTTTTTCTTGTGTGACAAAGCAGATGGTCAGAGTACAGTCCTAGGCAGAGGACAGCACTCCATGATTTGTGTCCTCATAGCCAGAAGGTTCTCCCGGATCAGAGGATTAGTAAGCAAAAAATCTGGCATTTTCAATTAGACTATAATTCACCAAAACCATCTCATTATTTTCTCTTCTTAGGCAATCTCAGAACTGGTCAGCCCAGACATCTTCATGCAGTCTCACTCAGAAAATGCAATTTCAGTCAAAGAAATCGTCACTGAGATTGAATCTATCAGTCAAGGAGTTGGACAGATTCAATTGAAAGACATTCTGTCCAACCCATGCCATACACCAAAGAAGAACACCATCCATGAGATGACCCTTGAGAGGGCCCAGGCCCCAGGGAACAGACCTGGAGATACGGAGCAGAATGAAGGTTCCTGCACAGCCCAGCCTGAACTAGCCAAAGACTTGGGGAAGTGGGATCCAGAAGGCTGCCTAACCACACACTTATTCACAATGGACTTGGAAGAAGAGGAACCAACTGAGGGAGAGCAAGAGCTCTGGGGCCCAGGGATGCACCCAGGTGCCAAGTGGTGCCCTGGGTCCGTGAGGCGAGCCACGTTGGAGTTTGAGGAGCGCCTGCGGCAGGAGCAAGAGCACCATGGTGCTACCCCTACTTGTACCTCATTGTCCACTCGCAAGAATTCCAAGAAAGATTCCTCTGTGACAGAACCAGCACCAAAAGGGAAGAGTGATGAAGCCACCCTAGAACATTCATTTGTCGCCAAGGAAGCAGAGATGAACAAGAGCAAAGGGAAATGCAGTGGGTCTGAGGCTGGCTCACTACCCCATTGCGAGCAAGATGCCATTGTTCCAGCACCCGAACTGCTGGAGTTTCACCCCTTGCCAGCTTCTCAGCAGTGCCCAGGGTCAGATACCAGAACAAAGCAGGAAGGAGTCCTGAAAGTGCAGAGGACTATGGTTTCATGCCAGAGAGCTGAGACACAGGCATTTCCTCTTCCCCTTCCCAAGAAGATAGAAATCATTGAGTATACCCACACAGTTACATCACCTGATCACACTGGGCCAGGGGGTGGAATAGCCACCAGTGAAAAGAGTGGGGAACAAGGCCTGAGGAAAGTGAAAGTGGAGAAGTCCATCACTGTCCTCTGTGCACTGGATGAAAATCTAAACAGGACACTGGGCCCCGACCAGGTTTCTCTGCACCCCGAAGTGCTACCTCTGCCTCATTCTTCATCTGAGCACGACAGGCCCACTGATCCAGCCTCCACCATGAGCAGCCCTGCAGGCTGGGGCAATAGCCCATCAACAGCCCAGGACACAGCAGCGCCTTTTGTCAGTCACACAATTCACGTACCGTCTGCCAGCTTGGATTACCTGAATCCCCAGACTGTGGTTCACCTAGAAGGCTTCACGGAGCAAAGCAGCACCACAGACAGCGAGCCCTCTGCGGAGCAGGGGAGCTGGGAAGAAAATCAGGAGGGCCCCCTCTCCAGTGGCAATGAAGTGCCATATAAGGGCTCCCCATTAAGTAGTGAAGACCTAAGTTTAATTAGCAAACTAGGTGACAACATTGGGAAATTACAAAAAGCACTGGACCCATCACCTGTAGCCTGTAGACTCCCACATAGCTCTAGTAGTGACAATATAAAGGGTCTCAGCCACAGCCCCAGTGTGGTGAAGGAGCGCTCTAAGGAAATTGAGTCTCGAGCAATTTGCCAGTTAGGGCTCACCAAACCATCCCAAATGAGGCGTTCAGCTTCCCTCACCAAGTTAGGTTACTTGGACCTCTGTAAAGACTGTTTACTGCAGACGGAGCCTGTCTGCTCTGAGTCCCCTCATCTCAAACTGCTTCAGCCCTTCATCAAAACAGACTCAGGCATGCATACCATGGAGGCCCAGGGGCCCCCAGGAAACCCAGATGCCCCCCAGAACCCAGAACCCACCAAGTATTTTATAGAGCAACTTAAAACAACAGAGTGTGTCGTGCAGAGCAAGCCAGTGGAGAGGCCCCTTGTACAGTATGCCAAAGAATTTGGTTACAGTCAGCAGTGTTTGCTCCCCAAGGCAGGACCTGAATTGACTAGTTCTGAAGGCCTTCCTTTGCTACAGACCCAGGGGCCACAGTGTGCAGGCCCAGCTCCAGGGCTGGCTTTGGCTCCCCGTCAGCAGCACAGCAGAACTCACCCTCTTAGGAGACTGAAAAAAGCAAATGATAAAAAACGGACAACCAACCCCTTCTATAATACCATGTGATTCTGAGCCTACACATGTGACTTTCTAAAAGAAATGTTTGTAAAAGGGGCAGGTGTAATACGTAAGGAACATGCACTTTATTGGTTAATTTTATAATATTTTGGTCATTTTACTGTTCCTGGCGCATGCAGGGTTTGGGGTTTTATTTCTCTGTGTGTGTAAAAGAGAGATTTGGATGGCAAGACCATTTTATCATTTTTTATTTTTAGAAAATTCAAACCTCAAAAACTCATTTTTAAAGAACACCTTTATGAAAGGCAAATTGCTGTTTTTCAATCAACTGCCACCTGCTCCTCATTTTGCCCTCTGAGAAAAGGCATACTTGCTTGATTAAGAAAGGAAGCAGATGGGGACAGTGGAGACGAAGCCGGAAATTGGAAATGCTCCCCCGGGCCTGTGTGTCTGACGGTTTGCTCTCCAGACCTGATGCATCAGATGGGCTGAAGGGCAGCCTGACATCAGCGTGCTCTCAGCTGTGACCCCCAGCCCCAGCCCATTGGAGTTCCTGAAGTGGGAAGGTTCTGCTTTGCTTTCAAAGAGGGTCTTCCAGAAGTAATTTCTTCTATTCTGGAGCGGATCATTACAGAAAAGCATGGTAATGGCTGGCTTTGTAAACTTACCAAGCAAATAGTTCTTTTTATTAAATTGAAAATGAACCCCAAATGAAATTCGAGAAGTCCTCTGTAGAGTAAGCATAAGAAGGAGGAGGTGAAGTAGAGGGAAAAGAGGCTGCTGTCCACTATCTTCAGGGTCCCTGGGCTCCACACAGGTGGTCATCCAGCCCCTCCTTGCCAGGAAATGTGCTCTGCAGCATCCTTCCAACTCATACATAGGGACAGGTTTGAAAAACAGCAATTGAAAGTCAATGTGTTCTTGTAAAATGAATACATATGTAGGGTTTTAACCCTTTCATTACTTGAATAATTCTGTGGGCCTTCTAAGTTTAATGGCCATATTTTTTTCAATTTATTTTCTTCCCTCATGCTGTTTCTCCCAGTGCTGCCTTTTTTTTTTTAATTTCATAGATGATATTTGAAATGTTACATTACATGCGTATAACCTCCATTGAATGCAAAGTTTTCTTTTTGATATTATCACTGTTAACACTTGATGTAAGTTTTTTTTCCCTTTATTTTTCCTGGAAGATTTGTCATTTCTCTAGTTTATACACAGTATTTATGTAGATAATGTCACTTTCTTACAATGTTTTGTTGTTGATGTTGTAGGGTCTTTTTGATTAATTCTTTTTAAGAAAAAGTAAAGCTGCAACTGGAAAATACACCACAGAAATAAAACTGATAGGTGTTGGTAGGAATCTGCAGAGTATATTGACAGTGTTTTTAATTGTTTAAATGGAGACTTCTAATTGCCAGCTCCTGCCAAATTATGCGTTAGTAACTTCCTCCTCAGAGAAACCCCTAAAGGTTCCCATTAGATCACAGTTTGACTGAAGGCTGGTTCCTCTTTGAGACTGAAATCTCAGAATGTTGTTTGCCAGTAGCTGAAGCGCAGCCAGGGAGGAAGTGCATGTGAGTGTTGCTGCCCAGGATGGACGTTCCTAATGAGTTAGGCTGAAGGGGTGGGGGAAAGCCTCAGCCAAGGGCAGGCACCTTAATGACTCCATTGGGATGCTGTTGCTTTGCTGCTGTTGTGGAGATCCTCAACATAGGAGCACCTGCCATGAGTTTAATTCAGCTTCTTACAGAAAATGTATTTAGGCTGGAATGAAACACCCTTTGCAGCTCATCAAAACTGAAGAGGTTTGCAGATTTGCTCCCTGTTTGCTTTGGTTGATGTCCACATTGCTGAAAGACTGACCAAGTACAGACTTGAGGTTTAGGTTTTTGGTTTATTACAGCACCGAGAGGAAAAGACAAATGTACAGACTGTCAAAGTGATGTCAGAGGCCAGTATCTGGTGGGAGCAGGTAGTAGGATGACCCAAAGGAGAGGGAAAAGGTGGACTGATCCCACCCGTAATTGCTTGAGGAGTGTGAATCCAGTTGCCTTGTGGAAGCTGTGGTTGAGTCTGACATCACTGCTAGGAGGCAGATTGGACAGAAACCTCCTACTATAAGAGTCTTTATGGTATAATAATTATACGTATCTGTCCCTAATAGATTCCCTAAATGTTTAAATGTATCATCCACACAGCTTTGTGATTCTGGTATATTTAATGTGTTGTAAAGTGTTTTGTTGGGTGGCATATATCAGTATGAGGAGGCTTGCAAGACGGGGTTATGAATTTCCAGGTTCATCGATCTAAACTGCTCTGTCTTGAGGAAATTCCACCACCACTATGATGGGGGAAGGACAGGAAATTGTGGTAGGGGTAGGGAGAAAAGGATTTGCATGGAGATTAAGTACAAGCAGGATAGTTAAGATTGTGCTGTTCTCACCCTGCCACTGTGTTTAATGTTTACTCTCAGTGCATTAAATAACAACAAAGATGGGGAGAAACCCTCTAATGTGAAGAAAAACAAAGAGAGTAGAGAAAATTTTCTTGCTCTGCCTTTTTTAAAAATTATTATTTTAATCATTTAATTTACCTGCCTAAAGAAACATCCTCTACACTGGGTCTGTAGTTCAGCCATGTCATGGGATTTTGCCAGCCCGCTCCAACTCCCACAACCAAGTGTTCTTGTGTTATTTACATAGCTGAGCGATGTCCAGGGGAAGAACACGTTGAGCTATCAAGGACTTTTCAGACTTCTCTTCAAACTTTTTTATAATCTCAGTTGGCCTGTTTCCCTTTTCTGTTCATGGAAAACTCAGCCCTAGGTCTGGTAGAGAGATGCATAGCAAAAGTCTTGACCTCTTCCTTGGTGCCTCTATTTTGAAACCACCACAGTCTGACTAACTCTCAGTTACTCTGGAGGAGAGATGGGGGTGGTGGGGGGGAATTAGGGAGAGAGAGAGTGAGAGAGTAAGAGAGTGAGAGTCTGTGAGTCTGTGATCTCAGTTACTCTGGAGGAGAGATGGGGGTGGTGGGAGGGAATTAGGGAGAGAGAGAGAGAGAGTGTGAGTGAGTGAGTGAGTGAGTGTGTGTGTGTGTGTGTGTGTGTGTGTAAAAAGTAATATTCTGGTACATGAGGTTAAAGCCCCAGAGAGTACACAGGCTTTGAGCTGTAATCTGGCTGGTTACCTGGTCAGTAGGAAGGAGAGAAACCCCAACCCTTGATTTTAGAAACACTTAGGAGTAGTGTATACTATAGTAGACATGTAGTACTGTAGTGTTGTAATATTCATCACTCCTCATTTTGATTGCCTTTCAGATTCTGAATGGGATCATTCTAGCATCTCAGCCTCTTCCGGCTGTTTATCTAGCATTATCCTGGTTCTGTACCTTTATCCCGGCTGTATTTCCTGTTTCTCATTTTGGGAATTACCAAGAGCTTCAAGGACAGCCTGAGGATGACAGCCTAGGCTCTGAGGTTTCCTCCTGCTAAAGGGCCCAGACAGATGCTGTTGGGTAGACCTGAAGCTTTTGAGACGTGGCAGCTCACAGAAGTCTTCACCTATTCCATCTGAGGATTTTAGTTCTGAAGTGATCTAGGCATATTTGGTAAAGAAAGATGTTTTTGTGGGAGTTTTGTTTGTGTTTTAAGAGCATTATGCAAAAGGAGTCACTTTTAAGGGCATTTTTAAATTTTTAAATAAAGCCATTATTTGGCTTTTTTGGACAACTGTTTGTGGATACCTTGTTTACATTGTGTGGGTATTAAAATGTGTATCATCTTGACAGCAGCTCAATCTCCTCTAGGCAGCCAGACCTGGCTGTCCTAGGAGTCCTCACACAGAGCCAGCCTATAATGGTCAGCCCTCATGGGAAAGTGGGGGAAACCTGGAGCTGACTTCATCTGTGTCCTGTACTCCCATCCAACACCCTGTATGGAAATAGTCATTTCCTCAGTGATTGTGTGTCTTATAGTGATGGTTGTAATGGTGAATGGCTAATGTTGTTTTTGTTTAATTTTGTTTTGCTTTTTGATGGTAGATGAGATGACATTTTAGCTCCTTCAGCACCAATCCAACTTAATAGGATCTTGGACTTCGTTTTCCCTTCCAAACTAAAAAAAACAAGGCATGTTTTAGGCATAAATGTATTTGCTGCCTCACCTCATCCAACCCCTGTATTAGGAAAAAGCCTGCCCCCAAAGCAGGAAGCTGCACACTCCTAACCTTCTCCCAGGGATTGGGGTCCCTTGATGCCATGGAGAGCTATTGCAAGGTGCTTCTGTACTTTTTTAGCTTGGAAGTGGAGGGTGACTAGGCCTGGCTCCTGCTATGAAAAGAGAACCAGCCTCATTTTCTCAGTGCCCAGAGATCTAGGACAGGATTTCTAAACTGGAATCACCCCTCATGGGCTTGAAGATGCCACAAGGGGTATATGACTAGCGCTGCCATCTGTGTGTCCTCATCATGACACTGGTGCAGCATCCTATATACACATGCAGAGCTAATACCCAGGGCTTAACTTGAGCTGATGTCCCAATCTGAAAACTGGGTAACTGGCCCTGAAATGTTTCCTAATCAGTAAGCCCACAGGGAATTGTTTGGTTTTTATATTTTATTGGATTTTGGTTTGCTTGGTATAGGTTAAGGTGCCTTTTTTTTTTTTTTTTTAACATTATTTTGTAGGATTTGTTATAAATGTGGAAAACAAGTCCAAAAGACTGTCCCATTGACTGTTACCTTTGCCCCTGGCCACCCCAAACTTTTATGCTTACATTTTATTAAATAAAGCAGGTGCTCCCTGGAATCTCTGGGACCTTTTAGAGGCATTTGAAGCAGAATATAAAGAGTGGTCTCATCTCCTTCCTTAATCTTCCTGGTGGTTGGGATGTTCCACTTGTATCATAGGTTTTTTTATTACTGATGTGCTCCGCTGTTTTTAAATGTGAACTTGTGCGCAAATGTGCAGATTCAATGTTCTTGTTACAGACTGAATAAATTTTTATTTTGAAGATGAAACGTGTACTTGATCAGGTGCAAAAAAGGGGGTGGGTGCTGGAGAAGGTAGAGGGATTAGAAGAGAACACTGATGATAAAGCAATTCTCATTGATTTCCGTCAAGCACACCCTTAAGAGATAGCTGAGTTCTGGGGGGAAAAAAAGTGTAACTTTTTATCTCCTACAAAATAAAGATGGGAAATAGGCTCACTAAAGATTATATCAGATGATGTGGCTCCAATCAAGTGACCAAGCTGGGAATTTGCTTGGTCAAAGAGGCACTTGCCAAAGCCACCACCTGAATGTTAGGAGAATAAATAAGCATAGGGGCCAAAATTCCTCTGCCATCTGCAGTGCAGAGTGCTCCTAGACAGCTGCAGTGACCTGTCCCAGCAGGTACTGGATTTCTTAGGTGAGTGACCTCTCTGAACATTGGTAAGAGACCTCACAAGTTCAGCACGAGACACAACTCACTCAAAGATTTCTAGAAATGGTGCACAACTTTCCAAAGTAAAAGCTTTTAACTCTCCTACCATTAGAAGAGAAGCATTTGATGTCAGTGTTGGAGGAAGGGAAATAGGGCCAAAGGGCAGTTCTCTGAAACAGTCTGGGAGTAGAAGGAAAGGTTCCCCCACCTCCCATCCCTCCACAGACTCATCAGGAGATATTTAGTGGTACCATTCACCACATACAAGGCAGCACTATTATATGGGAAAAGCTCATTTTCCAGTTGCCAAATTTCTGACAAAATAATTGGTTGCCAGAGAAAACACTGCCTCGAACTAAAGTTGTTATCCTGCTTCATTCTGAATCATCCATATCAAATGAGAGGGGCACACTACTGGTCTCTGGCTGCACGATGGTCTCAGAGTGCATGATGGTGAAGGGAAGATCATTTCACAAAATATTCTAGGGGTGCCCAGAGTCCCTGACCAATCTAAAGTTTAGTCTTGGCTTTCTAGCCAAAGAAAATGGACCAAATCATGTCTAAGTTGCCAGGTCACCTCTTCCAAAAATTGGCTTTATGAAAGATGAAATTCATGCCTGTCTACCGCTTATTGCAGTTCAGAGCCCAACTAAAAGTTCAAATGGATATCAGGAAGGGAAAGCACCAAGCCCAGATGACTTCTTCCTCTGATTGGTTCTTTGTGCCTTGGCTCTGCCCACCCACAGTTCTGCCAGGCCTTAGCAGCCAGAAGAAGGCTAGAGAGCTGGGCTGAGCCATGCCAAGTCCAAGCAATACCTTTGAATCCTAGCTCCTGTACCTGGAGAGTACCCGCCCTTTTCCCAGATGATGGAACTGAAGGCAAGATGGATTGAAAGATACCTGCTTCCCAGTCTCAGACTCTTCCCTTTAGAATGGTGTGCCTAGCTCTCTTTAAAGAGGAGGGGAAGGGAAAGAAAAGATGCTGTTTCAGGGTAGGAGGCAGCATGTCAAATTCCTTCTCTGCCAACAAGTGGCGCAGAATTGGAAAGAACCTGACCCAGCCCTCTTCTTTTGACAGCTCAGAGCTGCATAAACAGGATGATTGAGCCAGGGCTGGAACCCCTGTTTTCTCATTAGCCCAGGCTTCCTTTCCTCTATGCCGCAAAGTGAAAGAAACTCTCAGTATCAGCACTTGTGGGATAAAATGTCACTGTCCTTCAAGAAGAGGCAGAAATGCATGGTGCTGAAAAACAGACCCAGACACCAGATCACTTGGGTAAGAATTTCAGCTGTACCAACTACCAGTAGAGTGATGGGTGAACTACTCAACCTCTTGTGCTTCAGTTGCCTCATCTGTAAAATAGGGATACTAATAATACCCATCTCAAAAGGCTGTTATCAGAATGCAATTAATATGCGTAAAGCCCTTAGGACAGTGCTTGGCACATAAGTATGAGCTGTTGTTCCTAAGGAGCAACTGAATCACTCATTCTTTTCCTCCTAATCATGAGCCTGGAATCCTTAGGTAGAAGATCTATCCTTATGGCCCCCCATGCCATGAATTATTTCTGGAGCACCTGTAACAGCTTCTGATTCTGTTCCCCTATAAGCCACTGCATACTGGGACTCTTCCTGAGAAAGCTTTGTGGGTGAGTGCTTTCCAGGTTCTCACCACCTTTCCTCCCCTTTACCCCAGTGCTGATCCCTGCCCTCCAGAAAGCTGTGTTCCATTGATTCCCGGCTATGCCCTGGAGAGTGAGAAGTAGTAACTGGCCCGATGCTGCCCTCCAAGGCCTTATGATCCAAAGGAAGAGATCCAGGCAGGGATGGATGCTGAGTAGACTGCAGCTACAGGGACGAGTTGTTCTTCGTTGGCTGTATTTTGATCCGATTTCTTTTCATCTCAACTTTGGTCAGTACTCAGAGCGGTGGTTCCTGAGGGAGGTGGGAAGAGGCGGGGTCTTCCCTGAAACAGAATCGGGCACCAATTCAAACAGGGCCCAGAATACCTTAGGGGTCGGGCTGGGCGTCTAAAATTTGGCCAAAGACCTATACCAGAGGGTCAAGGTGGGTTCACTTTTCTCCCCCAGCGCATCTTCCGTGACCTCTCCCCAAGGGGGTCTGGAAATGCTTTTTCCAGCCCGGTGGGAAGAGGCGGGGTCTTCCCTGAAACAGAATCGGGCACCAATTCAAACAGGGCCCAGAATACCTTAGGGGTCGGGCTGGGCGTCTAAAATTTGGCCAAAGACCTATACCAGAGGGTCAAGGTGGGTTCACTTTTCTCCCCCAGCGCATCTTCCGTGACCTCTCCCCAAGGGGGTCTGGAAATGCTTTTTCCAGCCCTGGCCCAGCCTGCTGGGTTGAGCTAAATTGGGGTGCGATTAC